CAGGGCAGTGCCAACCAGCCCTAAACCCTAAACCCCTGAACCGAGCTTTGTAGCGCCTGAGTGCTTCGAGTCCATCAGGAAGCCCGTCCAAAGGAAGCTCCTGGATCAGGTTTCTTTGAGGGGTTTAGGCTTTAGGGTCTAGGGTTCAGGGTTTAGGGTTTAGGGGTTTTAGGGTTTAGGGCTTAGGGTTCAGGGGGTTCTGTAAGGGTTGGAGGAAAGGTTTCTAGCAGAGGAGCCTTCACAATTGGAGCAGGGTTCTGGGGCTGGATTCTAGTAGAACTAGCTAGAGTATACTACTGTATATTATAACAGTATCATATGGCTATCCGGTTATCCTATGTCATTACATATTACACTCTATTTATGAAAACAACTTTAGACGCTCAGGTCATGCTTGCATTCTGCCTTAGACAGGGAGCACGGCCTTGAAAGCCGCCGGCCGTAGAAAGCGGTTCGTTCTCGTTAGGCTTCTAGTATGGCGGCTTGAATAATAAGACAACTATAGCTGTAGCGAAACTCTATAGTTGTAAGATAAGGCGTTTTGGGCTTCTGCCTGAAGTTCACAACTCCCCTACTTTCACCTGATGAGAACTCTGGTGAGACATGAAAACAAGCTTGGCATCATTGAAGCATAGCCGGGCCCCAAACCCTAAACCCTAAACCCATTAAACCCTAAACCCTAAACCCATTAAACCCATTAAACCCTAAACCCTAAACCCATTAAACCCTAAGAGTTCTACCAGCTTCTGGAGCCTGCCCACTTGGCTGTACACCCTCTCTTTCCCTGAAGCTGTTTAGGGTTTAGGGTTTAGGGTTTAGGGTTCAAGAGAATCAAGTAACCAGAGAAACAACGGAAATGACAAATGCAGACCTGGCTGCAGTGAACTCCTAGACACCCTGCAATCTATGCTTCCACTGACAGGCTAGGCTAACTCCAGTTTTTCGGAACACCGTCCTTTGCAAGAGACACCTCGGTCAGGCCTCAGTGGGCGACCGAAGGCCATGTTTTAAGAACGATGGTTCGTGTAACTTCACCGTTGCGGCCCCCTCTCTCGTTCAGAGCACTCTTTCCCTTCAACAACAGAACAGCGTCGAAGGACCTGTGTCTGCTCCT